ATGCGAACATCAACGCATGTGCGTTGCACAGCTTCCCGCCAGTCTCGGATCGATCGGGCCGGGGTGCATGCATTCATGATGCAGTACGGACTCAGTACAATCATAATCATTGACCTGTAGTTGTAGGTCTACAACAGTGCTGGCAACTGAAATTCGACCCCCTGAGCGGGCGCTCAGGGGTCGGATTTCAGTTGCCAGCACTGTACTACATGTACTAGTACTGCAACTATACTTGTTCTCTTGAAAGTGATGACGTCAAAAACGGCCAGGGAGTACTAAGTTGACATCAGATTTCTATTTTGGATCCACTAAGGTGTGACTTTGCTATTGCCTCAGTATGTGGGTGCATAGCAACCCACTCATGTCGTATGCAGGGGTGACTTTTACTTCGCCCCAGTTGTAACCCCGCCCCCAGTAGCCAAATCAGTCAGTTTCACTGGTTACATCACCTTGCTGTGAGTAAGACGGCTTGAAATGTGCTTGGATCCATACAAAAACTGGATCCAAGTGGATCCAATTTTTGAATTTTTGAAATTGTTGCTATGCTGTGACGTAGCACTTTCAAGCCCTATTAAACTTCGCATGCAAAAGTCAAAGGATATCGCCGAATTGTTGTCATAAATTCAAAATTTCACCCAAAATGCAAGGAAAATTCGCTTTGCTGCCATGGTAACCAATATGGTGCCAGAATTTGCCATAAATTTTATGACTACACGAATGAGGGAGTCGTAAAAAAATACCGGTTTTTAACGACTCCCTGGCATGAATTTACCGTACTGCATAGCATGCGCGTAAGCCTGTAGATATCTACGAAGAGCATCCATGATAACCCCAGGGGTTATGTACTCTTGCCTGTAGATCTACACTTAGACAGGTGCATGCACAATAATAGCCCAGTTATTAGCATTAAAAAGTAAAAAATACGCTCGGTATCTGTTCTTGCTACTGTGCTCTATGGCTGCCAGACCTGGACCATCTCTAGGGGTAAGCGGTATATGCTCTGGAAATGAGCAGATTATGCTCTAACGGATGTTTGCAGAATGCTCGAGAAAACAGCCAATTATGCTTTTATACGCTTCACTAGAAAGACCAAAAGAACATAATTATAATCGTCATGAATAAAGGACTCAGACCATTCTCATGATGTGGACTGGGAGCTTTGTGGAAGTACAGGACAATAATAATTATGCAAGAGGAATACCAAATTCACAACCAAACACTGACCTTTTTTTATCATTCCAAATCAACATAGTCGTATGTTCCTCTTGACTGGATTACACAGAACGGATATAATTATATGATGCCATTTGATTTATGTTTGGCAGAACATTCTATTTCCGGCATATGCGAATATGTGGGTTGCCATTGTGCGGTTGACATTGCCGCGGAAATGCATATACCGGTACTTGAAGTAATAATAATAATAATCTGTCCCTGCGGGAATTTGCGGAAAAAATCCTCGGAAACTTGTGCAAGAAATTGCGGTGGAAAACAACAAAAAATGCGGCGAAAAGTTAGGAACTATTGGCAGAAAATTGCGGATTTGGGCCAAGTCACGAAATTTGTTGTATCCTTAGAATCGCTATTTGCGTACTGTGGAAATAACCTACAAGCAGGATCATGGAAAGCACTGTATACTGCGTGAAAAGTGCAGAAAAATGTCAAAAGAAGTGCAGAAAACAACAAAAACGCGGGAAATCGCGGATTTTTCAGAAAATCGCGGGTTTAAGCCAAAATCGCGAAATTTGTTGCGTCCATGGAATCGGAATCGTGATTTCCAGGAGGGACAGAATAATAATAATATTAGGGAGGTTCCGGAGTACGATTTTTCGTGCCAAAATCCGTGGAGGCTCTACGGATATTTTATACGTCGTTTTCGAGCAGTGAAAAGTTCCGGGGTACGGAACTTATGTGTTTGCCGTCATTGCCTAGGTTACGATCGCAAACACGTCACATTCCCGCGCTATGCCTTTTTATTTTGAAAATTTGTACCGAAATCAAAACTTCCCGCGAAAAATCGATGTTTCTCGTACCAAATTTGTACGCGAAAAATCTTTCTGCACCCGATGGGCGATGGCGCAAAATCTCCATACGAAATATGGTTCGTATGAAAACCAGTCCACACGGATTCTCCGTGCCGAAAAATCGTATGGAGCACGCCTGGAAAAAATCCGTAGCGCCCATACGGATTTTAGCACGGAAAATCGTACCCCGGAACCTCTCTAATAATAATAATAATCACTTGCCAATAACAAAGACAACAATAATACCATCAGCCGCCATTCACCGGTTTTGACGGTGCTTCACTGATGTTGAATGAGAAGAATTATACTGCTGCCTTCAGTGCTATTGTGTCGCTGAAGGGCTCGATTTCAGATTTGATGACGGTTACTTTTCAACGGATTTTGTTTTCTGATTTAACTCTCTTGCTATTACTGTACCTGCTTGTGTTAAGTCTCATTCTCGCAGATTAGTTGTATAATAGATTGTACATGCATCATTGTAGATTTGCTGTTCACAGTATTTCTCTCTTTTTTCTTTCTTTTTTTCTCAGTCTCCCTTATTATATTTTCTTCACATACAACAGCAGTACTCCCCATGGTCTTAAATGACCCAGGATGCTGCATAATACAAACACAAAACCAATAAAGCCACCCCCATAATAATAATAATAATAATAATAATCTTCACTAGTTTGAGGGAAAGAGACAAACGGGAAAAGTCTGAAGAAAAAATTGACTGTCACCACCAGGACTCGAACCAGGGACCCTCGCTTGTAGCTAGCGATGCTCTAACCACTGAGCTATGGTGTAATAATAATAATAATAATAATAATCGACAAGAAGCGCAACGTACATGTATGGTCCTTGAATAGCAGGTGTGTATATATAACAGCCTCATTGAGCATCTGCCCTTGTTTTTCGGATGCCATTTTATGCCCCTTCTCAAAAGGACCTGATTATGCCAAAAAGTATGCCTTCACCAGCAGGTGTGTATAACAGCCTCATTGAGCATCTGCCCTTGTTTTTCGGATGTCATTTTATGCTCATTCTCAAAAAGGACCTGATTTTGCCAAAAGTTTTGCCGGAATAATCCGCTTACCCCTAGCCATCTCACAAGCTATCATAAAATTAGAGCTTTGAGCTCAGGTATCTGCGTAAGTTGCTTGGCATCAAATACTATCATCATCGCACAAATCAGTCAGTACTGCAGGAAGTCAAAAAATGATATTGGCCCATTCACACGCCTTGATTCAACTTTAAAAGCATATCAAGTTGAAGTGGTTTGGACATGCGGCTAGGCATCATGATAGCTATTTCTTGGATGGAATGGTGCCGGGATCAAGAAAGACCCCGTGGTCACAATCAATTCGGTTCACCAGCATCAAAGACTGATCAATTAATCGTACAATTCTGCCTCTCTCTCTCTCTCTCTCTCTCTCTCTCTCTCTCTCTCTCTCTCTCTCTCTCTCTCGTTGCTGCTGATCGTGATAGGTATAGGCAGCTAGTTTATGAGTGCATTTAGATTCTCTTTTTTCTTCTTTTTATTCTTTTGGTGCTGCCGCCTTATGACACAGGTGGAGCCCCTATGGCCAGAATGGTTACGGATTCTACATACATGTACATAAAATGAACCCAATGCTGTAGACATACATTAGGCTATGACAGTAGCCAACATTCTGGTTGTATTTTGGACACAGGTTATATAAATCTCGAATGAACAGAATAAACCGTGATTGCGGCCATGTAACCGAACGACTACACTTAAAAATCGTAAAACGGGGATCACGTGGGATCCCGTACACCTCGTGCGTACTTGGACCTAGCATGGCATGTATGCCAAGTCCATCGATTCTGGCTGGAGAATTAGCAATTCCACCCTCTCTTCAGAATTGAGGGGTGTGATGGAATTGGATTCCGTCAATTCTGACGATGGAATTTGGGTAATCGAACCGTGCATCCACCATAACTAATTCTAGAATTGACCGAAATGTGTGTAATCAAATGCGCCCATAGTCTGCATGGCAGAAACCAAAAAAAGAAAAAAGAAAAACGCCGACCGACCTTGGTACTGATGAGTGAAGTGACCCAAAACAACGAATTAATTCTGGGTGGCCTTATTATTGTAATTATAGTTTCCGTAGAGATAATGCTTTATTATCATATGCCGCCGGGATATTGTAGAAATGACTGTAGAATTGTAGTATTGAAGTACATGTAAAATAAAGATTTATATTATTATTATGATTACTATCATTACGAAGTAGTGGGTGCGACTTCGGCGATGATTATTATCATTATTATGATTATTATTTACAGTACTTAACTTCAGTTTCTTTGGTTGTATCCTTAGTTTTAGTTCCGTATTTTTCCCACTGATGATAGGAACAAGAAAATCGATTCTGGGTTTTCAATGATTAATATTATTATGATTATAATGTATACACACCATGTAGTCTACCATGTACCGTGTATACGCACGTAGCAAGAGAAGCACGCAAATCTGCAAATGCACCAGATGTGCACCCACATGTTTTCTCTTATAGCAACGATAGCGGACAATATCTGAATGAGACAGATCAAGACTAGCGCCAGATAACTGACCAATCCACACAACCTGCAAAGCCATGTGAATCGACCACCAATGCACACCTGGTCTACACCACATGGAGTACATTGGCACACAACAGCCAAGACAGTTACCTATGCCTGAGTACTGGGAACCAAGAGCCAACGGACATACCAACAACCTCAGCCACACGCAGACAGACAGTACAATGAATTATGTAGTTTTGACGTGACTGGCCGTCTTGAGCAGACCTGTACCCTGGTATTGCACTACTGCCTGTACTAGTAATGTTTGCCCGGGTTTCGTGCAAACCAGTGCTCATACAAGGGACTGGCTGTAGTGACTGCCTGCAGCGCATCACCTGGCGGCTGCTTTCCTAAAGCACGACGTTATTATTACAAACGCAATTCTCCAAACTTCCATGGGCTCCATACGTACAATTACAACACACTGAATAAAATATCCCCGCATCCCAAAGCTTTCTAAAGGATCAGTTACAAAGCATAAAAAATAACGCTCGCAAAATCGTTTATATTATAAAGAGTTTGCGAGCATTGTGCGAGCATCCATGGAAGCATAATTCCACAATTTCGCAATCATAATTCGCCGTAGTCCACAGGTCGAACGAAGTGTCAAAATGCTGTGAAGGAAAAAACACCCAAATGTGTATGAATCTATATGAAAACTGGACCCAAAAAGTCAGCGCTGTCATGATGGGCTAGCTGCAACATAGCACTCTTGAGTCCAATAATATGGAAATAAATTAAAGTAAGAAAAGGACCAAGGAACTACGCGTTACGTTATAATGTGCACTACCATCAGTTACCTGACACTCAGCTCATGCGATAACATTGAACGACGGTACTGACGTTCTACTTCGAAGTACAAATAACTGGCTATCAGCTATAGCCCGTCTTGGATGCGCACTCCAACAGACGGAATCTGGGTCTGAGAGTCGAAACTAAAATTAAGCTTTCGCCAAAGTATGACAGAAAGGCAGAGATGTCAAAACGTTTTCAGTGATTTGATGGATACCATAGGCTCACATACTTCGAACCTGTCCATTGGCATGTGCAAACAGTGATGCAACACTCCCACTGCTGCTCGGTGTGTGGAAAAAAGGAAGAAAAACAACATCTTTCTTGCTAAGGTGCTCACTTTGCGAAGTGCACTGCATCCTGTTTACTGCTGCTTACTGCTGCTTACTGCTGCTGAAGACTGAGCCGCTCTGACTCATCTTTGGCATTGCTGCTGTGAGCAGTCTGCCCACTAGTTTTCAAACGAATACAGTCACTGCCTGGTGCAGCAGATGCGGTGTTTGCTGCTACCATGGCCACTGTTGTTGCTGCCATGGCATCTGTTGCAGTGGTTGCTGCCATGGCATCTGCTCTTGCCGCTGTGTCTGCTGCAGTGTTAGCTGCAATGGCAACTGCTCTTCCTGCCG